GGTTGTAATAGACTTTTATGGTCCTGTCAATCTAAAACAATCCCGAGTAATAAAAACTATCATAACCAAAGGTTACATCGCTTTATTTGTTTGTTTCGCTGTTAAAGCTGTTCATTTGGAAGTTTTGTAGAATTTAACTACTGAAAATTTTCTTGCAGCTTTAAAAAGATTCATATCTCGACGTGGCAGACCCACTGAGATTTTTTTGTGATAATGGCGCTACTTTTAAAGGAGCAAAAAATAAAATTGATAAATATCATGATATTTTCCTCGAAGAAAATCAAAATTATATTAATCATTCGTGTCTGGAAGAAAATGTTCAATTCCATTTTATTCCCAGTTATTCTCCAGTCTTTGGCGGTTTGTGGGAAGCTGGAATAAAAAGCGCCAAATTTCATATAAAAAGAGTTGCTGGTAATTCACAATTAACGTATGAAGAATTTAACACTTTGATGGTTCAAATTGAGGGAATTCTAAATTCCCGTCCTCTCACACAAATGACAAATGATCCTTCAGATCTTTCGTATTTAACACCCGGCCATTTTTTGATTGGGCAACCAATTACTGCTTTGCCTGAACCTGATTTTACTTATATTCCTGAAAATAGGCTCAAATTTTGGAAGCTTTGTTGCCAAATGCAACAACACTTTTGGGTTAAATGGCACAAGAATTATTTAGCTCTTTTGCAGTCTAGGCCTAAGTGGCGCTTTGATGTGCCTAATGTCCAAGAAGGTATGTTGGTTCTCTTAAAGGAAGACAATATTCCTTCTCTAAAGTGGCTCGCATTTCAAAAGTAATGCCAGGCAAGGATGGAAAGGTAAGAGTCGTAGAGATTAAAACTCAGACTGGAACCTATTTAAGGTCCATCACAAAATTGGCAATATTGCCCATTTAGAAATAAGATTTTAGTTATAGTAAGGTAGGTTGTAGTTAGTAGTTATAGAAATAGGGTTGTAGTTAGTTAGTAGTAGTTATAGTTTCTTTTCTGTAAACATATTTGCAAGTCTTGTGTCACTTTCTAGTGAAACTTAAAGCTAGCTTGAAACTTTTTTAGCTTCAGTTAAATGTATAAAACCTAAGATGTATTGTAGGTACCCAATACATGATATTTATGGTTTTATGCTATCATTACAAATATAGCATTTGCTATATAATTATATAAATATAAAAATGTAAGGTTTCACGTCATGCTAAGGCCCCCAGCATGTTGGATACAATATCCAACTATATTGGTTGGCCATGTGCAACTATGCACCAGACGTGACAACTTCATATTTTTGCCAGTATTGTCAAGTCTTGAAAGAGGTTAGAACATGAGCATGTCGCTCCTCATTTTCTCAAGCTAATATTCCATGTACAAGTTAAATGCAGGTTTCGTACCTCATTTGAAAGCTCTACCTTCTGGGTATCTTTCCAGTATGAAATGTATTCATATTAATATATGTTACAATTTAGTGGAAGTGCGAAGGCTTTCATTTTATCCCATGTGCGACTTTGCATCCCACAGATTGTACTGTTTCCCCGTGTATTATTACTGAAAGTGAATTGTGCAGGAGAATCATTTACTGTTCTTCCATTTAATACCGCTAGGTTGTTGATGGTAACGAAGTCCAACAGTAAAACGCCGTTTGGTATTACACTCATAACGTAAATATGTTTATTCGCATTAAAATCCTTAATCGAGACTGATAGCGTACCGACTTTTATCTGAAATTGTCACATGAATCTTAAACGTTCGTTTGTTAATGTCCGTTTTAATTTCGGCAATGAGGTCCACGAATATTATCAAATGCAGATATGTACGGGTCGTCACATAAGCAATTACGTGACATATGATCAATGTCGGAACGAGCAAATTTGCCATACTTTCCGCAACCAACTTCAACGACACAATCACTGGTTAAATTAATTTGGGTAACGAGATTTGGATATGTACACTTGCATATCCATCCCATAGTTTCCGTTTCCGGATCAGTTTCGAACAAGACCCAGTTTTCTGTTACAGGGTTGCATTTCCTTTTCCGTGTACTTTTTATGCAATAGCCTTTAAGAGCGTCACGGTTCGCTCTTAATGTAATGACACTTCTGTCTCTGGTGAGGCTAAGTGTCATATCTCGTTCGAAATGAATACAGGAAGCGTTAAGTTGTTTACAAGATAAACAGGCCATTTGATTATTAACATCACATTCAATCATTTCCGTTACATCGCAATCGATAAATTCATCAACGATAATTTCCGGCGGATAGTCGGAATAGAAATTCGTATTCTGGTAACGGAGGGTAAGCACATAGTGGAGCGACGAGCAGAGCAGCGGGCAGTGCGGAGAGCAGAGCGTCAATTGAGCAGAGAGTGGATGAAAGAATTGTATGCACATAGTGGCGAGTTAATACTCGAGTGAAAAAGATAAAAATGAATAATTTGGTTTTAACCCAAACGTCGTCTTTAAATATTTTGGTATTTAAAAAGAAGACAGATAGAAAAAAAGAAGGTGTATTGCACACCATATAAACAGAAGCAAACTTCGATTAGGCGAATATCACCATTTATATGAGGAATTACGGCAACATCCAGAAAAATGTCACTCTTATCTTCGAATGAATATTAAAACCTTTGATTACATTTTGGAACAAAGATTGGTAAAAAAATGGACTAATTTTAACATAAATCCAATTGGTCCAGCAGCAATCAATTAATAAAATAATTTTCACTTAATTCTTGACTTCATATATCTCCTTTTACATCATCCTACAACTTATCTAATATGTAATGGTTATGATGTTGGGGATCTTTTTGGTCTCACAATGGATTTTTAACAAAAATACTACTTATTAATTATTCAACGTCCATTTTTACAACACAGAGACAAACGAGCAAAGTAGAAAAATCAAACTTGCTTGAACGCGTCGCTTTGCTCGATATTAACAGCGCTGCTAAATCTCCGCGCTGCTCTTTACTATGTGTCAAACATTTTGATCTCGTGTGTTAGTTTTCGCTGCTTTGCTCTCCTCACTGCTCACTACTTTGCTCGTCGCTCCACTATGTGCTTACCCTAACACACGAGATCAAATTGTTTGACACATAGTGAAGAGCAGTGCGGAGATTTAGCAGCGCTGTTAATATCGAGCAAAGCGGCGCGTTCAAGCAAGTTTGATTTTTCTACTTTGCTCGTTTGTCTCTGTGTTGTAAAAATGGACGTTGAACAATTTATAAGTAGTATTTTTTTTTTTTTTTAAATCCATTGTGGGACCAAAAAGATCCCCAACATCATATCCGATACATTGGTTAAGTTGTGAGATGATGTAGCAGGAGAAATGAAGTCAAAAATTAAGTGAAAAATGTATTAATTGATTGCTGCTGGACCAATTGGGTTTATGTTAAAGTTAGTCCATTTTTTTACCAATGTTTGTTCCAAAATGTAATCAAAGGTTTTAATATTCATTCGAAGATATAAGAGTGGAATTTTTCTGGATGTTGCCGTAATTCCTCATATAAATGGTGATATTCGCCTACTCGAAGTCTGCTTCTGTTTATATGGTGTGCACTACACCTTCTTTTTCTCTTTCTGTGTCTTCTCATTAAATACCAAATTTTCAAAGACGACGTTTCAGTTAAAACCAAATTATTCATTTTTATCTTTTTCACTCGAGTATTAACTCGCCATACTATGTGCATACAATTCTTTCATCCACTCTCTGCTCACTTGACGCTCTGCTCTCCGTGCTGCCCGCTACTCTGCTTACCGCTCCACTATATGCTTAGCCTAAGCGTTTCGTGTGAAAAATTTAGGTAAAGCGTTGACAGACCGTATAAACAGAAAAATTCCAGTATTAATGAGCACGTTTTGAATATTGCCATTATTAAGAACGTCGACATGGTTGCCTCTATAACCTTATTAGACTTTATACGTCGCAGCCAGCAGAAAGAATGGCTTCAAGTTACGCCAATTCTCAAGTTCCACCTTATTCATCTTGAGCCGGATGCTGGAACATGAAAAAATACGGCCCACTTCTTAATTCAGGATTATCAAAAAGCGGCCGAGTTTCATTATTCGGCGATATCCATATTGAAAATGGCTAAATCCGTATACGCCAAATCGTTTAGGGCTCTAGCTCTTCTTAAAATACCCCAAAGACCTACCGAAGAAATGTTGGACAATTATGTAGCCTACTTCAATCGTCAAACGCAATCTCGTAAATACGTATATTCACCCATAAATCCGATAGTTGCGTTCCTAATAGAAACCGTTAAAATGTATTGTACCGATGATGTTGCCCATAGTAAATGTGAACTAAATGACAACATAAAAACGCAAATTTCACGCGACCTAAATGACATGATTTCCTCTTTGAGTGAACCAAGCATTTCAACGTCACAAATGCAACACAGCTTTTTACAAACCATATTGACAGAAGAGTTTCCAGAAGCGGCCGACGAAATTCTATCCAATCTACCTGGAGCAGAGCCTCAAGCATGTCCTCATGCAGAACTGACCATCGAAACGGAAAATCACTTTGTCTCGGAAGCCGAAATACGTGGTGATCAACCTGCCGAAAAACGTTTACGTTTAGAACAAGAGCCCGTTGAACAAAATCATGCGTCAAGTGATGATGGCGATTCTTTACCCGAGCTTGATGATGATATTGAAACGGACGATGAAAATATCATCGCTACGATGCCACTTGTAGGTGTATCTGCCAGCAGTGGAAGCACATCAAGCCACGCATAATCGTTCACGCAAATATATCACCAGGAAAATTGGAAACCGTCAATGGTAGCAATACCATCTTGATAGGAAAACAAGATCTGCGAACGGTTGTCGGTATTGTACTTCAAATGGCAGGATGATATTTTTTGGTTGCGTGCCTTTTTTACCGTAATAAAGCATTTACCATTTTCCACTTTAGTTGAAATTATGTTGTCGCAGGTAGATAATTCGGTTTCGTTAATTTCGAAAAGCCATGTTTCTCCCAGGTCTGTTCTTGCTTTGATTCGGTTACGGCATATACTATCAATTTCCATGACTAATCCGGGTAATGATAGAGATGACCGTTTACTTAGCCACAAACCTTCATTCCCCACAATATACAGAAGCGTTTCGTTTTCGTGATCTATAAACAACAATTTGAACACGGACCAAGTTGGTGGGTAAATCGGATCAATGTTTTTCGATCCATCGATCATTTTATATTCTCCCGACTTCAAACCCGTCCAAGGTAGGTATAGGTAATACCGTAGACCTAAATCTATACCAATTGAGATCTTGCGATCGGAATTTTTCCATGTAATAGAAATCCGATTTGAAACGGAAATATGGCACCGGTCGAAATTCGACAGAGAGTTTTCGGGGAAAATCGCACATTAAGGCATATTCGCAACAAGGGCCAAAGTTGAATTGAAACGGGGTACCAAAGGTATCGTTCTAAATATTTGCTGCTAGCACGCACATAAAATAGCGGTCGCTTTGATTCACGTCTAACTCTTTTGGCAAAATTATAGAATCGCTAGTCATCATGCCCCTGTAGAGCGACGGTAGGAAAGCTAAACCCTCTTTGGTGTCCAGATTAACGTGTCGCCCTAATATTCACCACAGAAAAAGGTTTTCCAAGTATATAGCTCCCGTTAAATCTGTTTTTTTCACAAAGTCCATCAAAAACTCTGCAATTTTCACGTTCATCTTATCAGTAACGAATAGCAAAACAAGTTTTTTTGAAGCCAGGTTCTCAGGGAAGATGCTTGCACCAAATCTCGGTTAAACCCAAACTCAATATCTACGCACTGGCGAATAATATCTGTCAATATATAACTGGGACTGTAAAAACAACCTATCAATATATCCACAATATTTGTTTCTGTGGGCTGAGGAGGCATTATCATGGTTTCGATAGCAAATTTCCTGCTAAACATAAACGCATCTGACATCCGTGCTTTATTATTTTGATGACTCAAGCACCTTTGTTGAAATCTATACATATTGCATCACTTATAGTGGTGGTGGGACGTTCCCCACCGATTTGATGCACCATGCGCGAGCTGCATAAAAGCAGCCGGTGGCTAATGAAAAAAGTCAGTTTTTACTTACGCTCCAAGTAACAAGTAACAATGAATTCAAGTTTCCCGATCTGGCCCCTAGCTTGGGTATGCGGTGGCCGTCTGCTTCCTCCTGCCGCCGCAACCATCAGAAGTCAAGAAGTTCAGGCGGCGCAGAGGCCGCCGCAACCAGCAACGGGCCGGTGTTGCTTAAAAACGAGTGGCCCGACGAGCCAGCCAGTGTTCCCTATTTCACACAGGGGGTGTGGAGCAATGAGTGGGACGAGCCAGAGCCAGTCCCAGTCCCAGAGCCTCCATCAGCGACAGTCCCAGAGCCCCAAGAAGACGAGAATTGGGACGACGGGATGTCGCCTATCCCCGCCTCAAAAAGGGGACTGGCTCGTCCAACAGGCAGGGAATGAGCTTCGACGGGGCCTGAAGAAGACGACGGGGCCTAAAGAAGACGACGATTGGGCCCCTGTTGGACGACGATTGGACCGGCTAGTCGTCCAACAGGTACCTACTTGAAAAAATATTTACGTTTCTTTTTGTAAAATAAACACCATTTAAACAATTATGTGTATAATTTTCTCATCTTTATAACGTTCTAGTTCCTCAGCCGTAATGGCTATTGGAAAACCAGGGCAATCAATTATTGCCCTCGTGCAACTTTTCCAGCACGAGGTCAGAGAGCTCGTGCCAATGTCAGGGCACAACAAAGATGGCGTAAAGTGCCGGAAAGTCTGTGTATAAACAAAACCAAAAAATTATGGATATCGATATTGATAAAATTCTATATTTTTTATCTTCGTCGACCGACAGCGATGAAGAGGAAGAATTATTAGGTCTGTTTCTGCAGAAATCACAAACCAGTCAGAGTGAATTTCATTGGTTGAAACTAGTTTTCTGACTGTTTCTGACTGTTTTCAACCAATGAAATTTACTCTGACTGGTTTGTGATTTCTGCAGAAACAGACCTATTATTATTATCTAGAATTGCAGGCCTATGATGCATCATTTTCTGTTATTTTAACAGCAACGTCAAAATAGAGACAGAAATAGATGTTGAGCCTTAACACAGACGTTGAAATAACAGGACAGGATACATCATAGGCCTGAATGTTTGCCAGGGATAATGAGATACCAAAAATTCAAAATTTTATTATTGAAATTGACATAAAAATTAATTTCAACGCAGGTATCATTGAAATTATTTCTGCACATCTCGGGAGACAGCATAATTATGTACTTTACATACAGGAAAAACTTCCGTTTTCAACTTTTTCATACACACAAACGTTTTTAATTTTTATTCCATTGAAAATATCTTTAGGTTAGGTTAGGGATCAGGGATCGTTAAATAATAAATTTGAAAAGAATGACAAAACGCGCCAAATTCATGTTCTTTTGGGATTGCACTAAACGTGAACTGATTCAGTGTTGAGTGCAGAACTCGGACAGCACGAGTTTTACCAACAAAAAACGCTAGAACGTAATTTATTATGAATGAGAAACGGATATAACGAACTTTGACAAACAAAATTTAACTTCTAAGATTATAAAGATTTTAAGGCAAACAAAACACGTAACATTAAATAACCGAAAAATGCCTTCTACTAATCTCTTCAATACTCAACTCGAGACTCGAGACTCACTGGCAAATCAATAATAAAAATATATTTCTACTTAAAATCTAAAAAATAGGTAGGGTACAAAGGAAACCAGAGAGCGAGTCTCGACCTGCGAAAGGAACCACAAAAAATAGTAAACAGATAAGCACGACGCGGCGTTGCCGTTGCCAAATATAAATTAAATTTTTTTCTGTCTAAATAAATGTTCACTGTCTCGGACAAATACACAAGTACCATTGAGCGTTTTATTCAAATACGTAAACATGTACTTTTGTTAGGTAATACTAATCCATTGAATAGGTAATAAGGCATACAACGATGATTATGGCGATACAAGTCTGTTAAACTATCGTTAAAGGGGGAAATGAAAAACACTCAAGTAGGTATACCATTAAGCGATTTATGCAATACGTATACCTACATTTGGATTTGTAAAAATTGTTAATTGTACACGCAGGGCATACATCGATCACAGCAACGCCAACCCGCTGAGTTTGTCCTCTTCTTCGTATACTTTTCCAGGTCGTCTTCATTTTTTATTCCAAAGTTACGTACAACCCAGAAACGTATTTCGTTATTGTACAAGCATATGGAGCAAACGGCCTTGTCGCCCTGTGCCTTCACGTTCGTCTTCTTTCCATTAACGTGAACGTGTTGATTTATCACCGGAAATGTTCCAAGTTCCGATGCAACTTTATAGAAGCTCTCAGGTTGACACTTTAACCAGCCGCCGTGTTTATTGCTACTCCGGTAAAAGCACTTATATGAAAGAGGTTCCTCTAATGCTTCAAAGACGTCGTTCTTTGCTAATACGTAGAATTTTTGGTTACTACCATCGAGATTACATCTACTCAATAAATTCCACTTATTGCGGTGGAACAAAATTTCGTAGAAGCCCGCTTCCTGAAAATGCGTTCTAAAATATGACAAGAACGAATTGAAGCTCGCTCGAAAATACTGACAGAGCGGTTCCTCGTAAACTTGAGCTACCGTAAATTTATTGTACTGCAACGAAGAGAAGAACTGAAAGCCTCCGTCGCCGATCATCAGGATAATTCGATTATGGTTATTTAATACAGCAAAGGAATTGAGTAGCGCTGACGACGATTGTTGAATTGTCTTTTTTCTTACGGCGAACATACACTCATCAAAAAAGTCTAGGGAACAAGAAATATTCGTCTTTTAATTTTGAGACAGAATAACTTTTTTTTAAAAGATACCATATGGGTATTTGTTGGACAAATCTTGTCAAATTTATCATATCGGCTTTTCAAGCAGGCTTTAACAAAATTTAAAAATCTTTTAAAAGTAAATTCTGTTCAATTTATAAATGTATTCAGTTGCATCTTGTTCCCTAGACTATTTTGATGTGTTTATTTAGAAACTTTAAGTCTTGCTCGCTAGAATCGATTGATGGAAACGAACCGCCGACGGTTTAAAGAACGGTACCAACCGTGGCAGACGATTTAAAATTGAAAGTATCAAGTCTTTATAACACTCGTTTTGCAAAGGCAGTTTTTTGATCAGCTCGAATATATAGGACTCTGCTCTAGAAAAAGGTCTATCATTATCGACGTGGGGCATCGGCTTGCAGGAGACCATTGAAAAATGTAGAGTTGTAATCTTCGGTACGATTTGTTTCGAGCTGCTCTTCATCGTCGGGGCAACTTTCGTTAGGAATGGTACTTTTTAAAAGATTTATAAATTGCAATTGGCTGTAGTGATTTGGGTTAGCCGGTTCGGTTTCGTTTCTTTTCCGTTTCGTCGTGAAAGAAACCATTTTTAGCTTAACATAATCCATCACTCGTACCGGTTCCAAGCTGGTAGAGAACGCTATGTACACGTCCACATTATATCAACCGTTGTCCTAAGCTGAGCATTGTCGTCGGAACGAATGGCTAGCGTTGTGTAATCTTCTCTGCTTTGTAAAGTGAAGGAATTCAACCAATCAAGTACCCAAACACGATCTTGTATCGATTGAGGTAACTTGGAGATAGTCCGACGTACGATCTCAATACAATGATCCAATCTATTAGGATCGTAAATGATCAGTAACAGATCCTTTTGCAATACGTATTTAGTGTTCAATAATACGGCTGCCCAGTAGTTTAATTTCTCCAGCTGCGGTCCTTGGTTTTCGAGCGTAATGTTTAAATTATAACAACAAAATGCGTGAGCATATTCCGTCCTCGTTAGTGTTGGAGTTTCGTCCAATAGACCTATCTATTTTTACCTGGTATGCGCGCGCAACACGAGGCAATGCATTTTTATTGGATAACTAGTACAGGTGAGAGGTATTCGTTTTGCACGCTGGGCATCTACTTGTCCTTGTCAATTGCCCGTGGTTTGACAAGGATCAGAATTATGGTGGATAAATAACTTGACGTAGCTTGACAAGTGATCGATTTTCAATTGTTTGTGTTTTTGATTGACAAATACGTTGCATGTCACGCAGTTTTCCTCCTTCCCTTTTTATCCCGTGCAGATAATAAGAAGGGATTGCTATACCTAAGTCTAACATGGTTAGGTACGTTTTGCCTCGTCTTGCGCAATAAGCGTTCTGCGTCTTTTTTTATCTGATAAAGTTTTCGTATTATCACCTCTTTGTCTGGTAAAATAGATAGGTCTATTGATTATATTCAAGTCCTATATCCCATTTTTCGATAATAGGGTTTGCCATGGAAAAACAAAAACATACATGACAAATTACCCGACGACCCGTGAAAACTTTGACGTTGAAATGAGTTCTCACATTGTTATAGACGGAAAGGGCCACAAGCTCCCGAAATCCATTGATTAGAACTGCATCTATAATTTGTTCACCCATACATTCCAAATGTGTTCCGACTGAGGACTTGTAAGTTCCCTCTATCAACTGATGGCATACGCCGCAAATGTCATTAGATTCGACACGGACAACAGTTATAAGGTTTATTTGAGTTATGGCCGCAATATCTTCGCACAATCCCTCTATGGAGGTCGACATAGCTCCGGAGAGTCAACAGGTTTTCACTTTAGCAAAGGAAGCCGTGCAAAACGAAACTGATGGCCTCTATAATGATTCAGCGCTTTTATGGCGACAGGCCGCCAGTATTTTAGTGGCATACGCCAATGCAAATATTGATCCCGATGAAGTGGGGATTGTTACAAAGGTAAAATCGTTAATCGGTTGTTTAGTATCACGAGCAATACAAAACAACAATGTCAAGCAGCTAGAGCCCAATTATCTTTCCTTGAAAATTTATCAGGATTACATTGCGAAAGCTATGGACGAAATAGCACAGAGCGGCACAGAATCGGACCAATCAGATTTTGCGATGCGTGAACCTAACGAAATTAAAGCGCCCAATTTATGGGATTTGAGTGGCCAAGAGGACGTCCGTGATCTTATTGTCAGTTTGTTTGCCGCCAAAAACAATGTAATGGTGTTTGGACCTCCGGGTACGGGAAAAACCTTCATGGCTGCATCGCTAGCGAAATCGTATAATCTACTCTTTATTGAAGTAAACAGTGCAAACCTAATGTCGGCCTATGTAGGTGGCACCGAAAAGAACATTAAAAACTTGTTCGAATTGGCTCATAGAAAGGTGACGCCCGATCGTTCGGTCCTAATTTTTTTCGATGAGGCCGAAGCGATCCTTTCGACACGAAAAGACAGTCCTATCAATACCAATCCAGTGACACAATTTATGATTGAAATGGAAAAAGATACAAACAAAGGCGTTCACTTTTTCTTTACTACCAATTTGTTGAGTAAAATAGAGCCAGCAATAAAGAGACGTTGTTATGGACTGTTTATTGGCTATCCAAAAACTAAAGAAGCCATTGCATCATTATATCGTCACAACTTGGCCAATTTTAAAAATACTGTTAGCGACCAAACCATAGAAACTTTAACAACGGCCAATGATAAACTTCTCTCGCCTAGCGCCATTGCGAGCATAGTCAAATTAGCTTCTACTTTGGCCAATAAGATTACTACGAATGATAAGTTTCGTAGAGTAAGAAATCACTTGTACATTAAAGATCCCAATGGTTCCTATACGTTTGCCGATGTTTCTAAGCAAGAAGGAAAACCTATCACAAAGCACATTTTAGAAATTGTACCCATTAATGATAATCATCTGATAAATGCGTGGCGTGCTACACCATCTGCCATTACGGCTGAGGAACTAGAACATTATAAAGATGAGGCCAAAGAGCTATTGCAATTGAAGGGGTTAGAACCAAAACGGTATAAGTGACATTTGCAAAAAAAATGAGTTAAGTGCATATTTGGGTACATAAAACTCCAATTTGTTCCATGGCAAAGCGAACTAAGTGATTTTTTGACATTCAGCGCCATCTATTGACAACTAAAAATTGCATGTAAACAGAAATCTTCGATTCGCTCCAGTCAAAACGGTCTAAGATCACTTATGCCATTTTGCCTCCAAACGAAATCTATATTTCCTTAATATGCAAAATGGTCCAAGATCACTTGGATAGTTTTGACGTTAGATATTTGTTGAATATTTTAAACTGTTCAATACGCAGACTGTCTGTTTTTGGCGGGAAATTGCGTTTAGTATGGTGATTTCTGTCTAGTGTGCAATAGTGTGATTAGGATTTACGATTTTTGAATACAAATTGTGAGAGTTAAAGTGTTCAATAATGGATGAAAACGAGGAAAATATTTCAGGTAAGGTTTGTTGTTAAACTTTTTTTAACTAACACTAGTATTAAGCAAAAAATTGAGAGAAATCGCCCAAATTAGCAAAAAATATTTATTTGTCAGATTCAGAAGACACTGCGACTGATACTGATCCCTATGAAACAGATGAGGACAGCGAATATTTGCCCAATTCACCTAACAGAATCGTTGAAGCTGGAACCGACGACACAGAAAGTGAGACTTCTAATAATGAAGAACATGGTATGCAAGCATTGATCACTTGTTTTATATTAATAAAGTTGAAAACTCTATATTTTTTTCAGTGACACCAAGGAAGGCTAGAAAAAGAAAACGAAACGAGAACCAGAAGCAGAAACGTAAGCGTGCGAGATTAACTGGACAGCAGTACGTAGCTTTAAATGGGAAAGAAATTAGGAAGAGAGAACTAAAACCATACAATCATCGATGCAGATACGGATGCGATAAAATTGAGGAAGAGCGGAGGAAATTACTGTTTGAAAAATTTTATAGTTTGCAGTCATATGATCTACAAACACAATATTTAGCCTCTTGTATAACGAAATCTGCCCCAAAAAGACCTAATAGAAATGCAGTTTCACAAAAACAATTTACAACAATAATAACTCTTATGGGCACACGAGTTTGTAAGAAGTTTTTCCTGAAAACCTTTGATATAACCAATAGAAGATTTGGAATAGTTTGTCAAAAGAAAAATGCTGATGGGTTTACTGACACTGATAAACGAGGACATCACGCCCCAAAAAACAAAATTGACGCAGTTACCAGAAATAATGTAATAACGCATATTAAAATGTTTCCCCGCTATAAAAGCCACTATTCGCAGTCCCAAAATGGTAATACAAGCTATCTTCCAGAGGATTTATGCATAAGGAAGATGTATTCATTATATAAAATATGGTGCAATGAAACAAAAAACATTCCCCCAGTTAAAGAATCGTATTATCGAAGTGTTTTTTGTAACGAATTTAATCTTAAATTCCATAAGCCCCACTCAGATACATGTCACACATGCGATCGTTTAAATAATTTGATAAACAATAGTCCTGATGAAAACATTAAAACGCAAAGCAAAGCCGAGCTAGAACTTCACCAAAGGAAAGTTGAGAGTGTAAAAAATGTCAAAAAACTCGATATAGAGTACGGAAGACAAAATCCGGATAAAGTTCGGGTGATTTGCTTTGATCTCCAGAAAACATTACCTACTCCTTTTCTTTCAACTAATAAAGTATTTTACTTACGTCAATTGTGGACATATAACCTTTGTATTCATGATCTAGTAACTGGAATATCCTCTATGTACATTTGGGATGAAACCATCGGCCAGCGAGGATCACAAGAAATAGGATCATGCTTAATTAAGGTACCTTATATTTTAAGACAAGTTCTTCTTATTAGAAAATTACTAGAACCTTTTTTTTCAGTACATTATGACCTTGCCGCCAAATATTGAAGAACTTATTTGCTACAGCGACCAATGTGGAGGCCAGAACAAAAATAAGAACATCACAAAATTGTTCATGTTTCTCGTTCAAACCACAAGTTTGAAAATAATACACCACAAATTTTTCGAATCTGGACATTCGTACATGGAATGTGATCGTTCATTTGCCCGTATTGAAAAAGCTAAAAAAAAAGCTTTAAACATCTTTATTCCAAAGAACTGGTCCGAGCTAATAAGAAACACGTCAAATAAATTTCAAGTTATTGACATGAAGCAGGAGGACTTTCTCTCCTTTGACTACCTTAATAGTATTATCACAGATCCTAAGAAGGATATGGAGAAGAAACCATTAAAGTGGCGACAGATAGTATGGTTTACGTACAGAAATGAAGATTTTTTCTGTTTCTTGTTCAACCAAACTAGAAATCCAATTTTTCCCTCGATTCACTCTCAAAAATGTTCTGCGCTTCCAGTAGGAAGACCAAAATTGTCCATAAAAAAGTTATTGGAAAAGTCTCTTTATTCGACTACGTTGAAAATAAAAAAGGCTAAATGGGAAAATTTGATTCAACTTCTGCCGTACATTCCTCCGATATACCACGATTTTTACCAAAAAATGCCCCATGAAGCAAAAGTCTCGAACAAGAAGACAAAGGGAAAACCAAGTGGTTCAAAAAAAAATGAAACACAAAATAAAGCTGAAAAAGAGACACAAAATGAAACTGAAGAAGAAACACAAAATGAAACTGATCAAGAAGACGACGTAGTACTATCTGACGACTACGAAGAATACTGAAAGTACTTGCGATTATGATAAGCATACTAAAATCTTCATGTTTCTATTATGAGTTGTATTTTCCTAATAAAACTATTGCTGAATTTTTGTTTTGCTTCCATCGTTTAAAACCATAAGGGTCTAAGTAGCATTAACAAAAAAAAATAAGAACATTAGCAAAATTTTATAATCCTAACAAAAAACAGTTACATATTACGTATTAAATAACATCAAAAAAATCGTGAAAAAATATCTACAGAATTTACAGTAAGCAACTAACTTCAACTTCAAATATCTCAAAATGAAAAATTTGTCGGTTGGACCCTTTTGGTTCTCACCTCTTCAATTGTAAGGTTCGATTTTGGTTGTGAAAATTATACACTTAATTGTTTTAAGGTGTTTATTTTACAAAAAAAAAGGTTATAATTTTTTTAAAAGTAGGTACCTATTGGACGACAAGCCGGTCGAATCGTCGTCCAATAGGTGCCCCGCCGTCTTCTTTATGCCCCGCCGAGGCTCGTTCCCTGCCCTCGAGCCAGTCCAATTTTTGGAGGCAGGGATAGGTGGCACCCCGTCGTCCCAGTCTTCGTCTTCTTGCACCTCTGTGGCCTCTGGGACTGGGACTGGCTCTAGCTCGTCCCAATCGTCGCACCAGTCTGCCGGCGTGAAGTATGGAACACTGGCTGGCTCGTCGGGCCACTCGTTATTAAAAAACATCGGCCTGTTGCTGGTTGCGGCAACACCGGCCCGTTGCTGGTTACGTCGGCCTCTGCGCCGCCTGGACTTCTTTGCTTCTGATGGTTGCGGCGGCAGGAGGAAGCAGACGCCACCGCATACCCTTTAGGCACGGCCCAAGCTGGGAGCAAGATCGGGAAACTTGAATTGTTCATTGGAGCGGGTTCAAGTAGAAACTAGGTTGTTTTTACCGTCCCAGTTATATATTGACAAATATTATTCGCCAGTGCGTAGATATTGAGAGCTTACTTTTCTGAGGCATTATTGGTTTTCTCTCGAGTTAGCCCGGATGACTTCTTCACCTCGTAGACTGGCGGATATTGGCTTTTAAAAAGCATCAACTTATACCGTCCCAGACTTTAGCCGAGGGTCACCAGAGCTTACCCTACAGAGAGGGTATTGGACTTAGTTACTTCTATTGAAACTAGAGAATACTATGTTTGTTCAAATACATTATAATATTTCTGATTAAATGCAGTAAATGGACTTCGGCTCGCATCAAACTATTCTTGTATATATCTCTGTTTCATCAGCCAATGGTCTGCTCTTGAATTAACCCGAATGATTTCTTCACCTCGTGGACTGGCGGATATTGGCTTTTGGAAAGCATCAACTCATACCCTCCCAGCATCCAGTCGAGGGTCACCAGTGACCAGGGCTTAGGGGAGACCGGGGCTGGTTGACGCCCCGGGTTGGTTGACGCATCTCAACTATCATTAAACGAAATGACCTGGCAACAATGTAAGCTGCTCTGTTCTAGGCACGTGGTCGGCGCGGACTCGTGTACGTTGTTTTTAGTTCGTTTCTGTCATTTGTGGGGAGTGCATTACAAATAATCGGTTTTTTGCTGTTGTAAGTAAATTTTTATAACCTTAGATAATTTCACATAAAAACTATATTTTTAGAGATATTTCAATAATTTTTTTAGTGTCATGAAGCTCAAAGCTTCTTCTACAAAACTAGTTAGTTAGATCTTTTGAAAGTTGGATAGTTTTCGTTTAGGTTATAAACAAACACAAAAACGTGCTCTGGGGTTGGTTGACGCAGCCTTGTCGGGGTTGTTTGGCGCATGCGTCAAGCAACCCCGGTTTCAAGCTTGCCTATTTTCAATGATATTTTGTTTGATCATATTTTAATTCATTTTAGAATAATGCGAAACTTTAAAAGAAAATCCGGTAAGGGTAATACTCCGCCGGATGTCATGCTAAGGGCAGTCAGGGAAATTAAGTTAAATAACAAATCTATAAGAGGAACAGCGAGAGATTTTGATATACCAGAGGCAACGTTACGGCGTTTTTGCAAGAAATTCACTCACGAGGAGGTTACAGGAAATGCTCCTGAACCAACAACGAACGTGGGATACCGTCAAACGGGGTGACTCTGGACTACGGGTTGACTTGGGACACTTGGGCGCGCGCTTCCATAAAAATTGGCAACAGGGGTGAGCAAGGTGGGAGGTCAACATAAATATTCTGGGGATTAGCATACACTTTGAGGTCTTTAATACACCTAATGCGGGCGGCACCGGGTGAGTCTTTACAGCGACAAAAAATTTGTTTTCAAAGTATAGAGAATCGGTGTTTTTTCAAACCGCTACAATTGTTGTCTGTAAATATATCAAGGTAAGTGATGACATGTATGTTTTATTTATTTTTTTGTCCGCTAATATGTTGTTAAAGATGTAATAAGGTCGTTTTTGCTCAGAAATTTTTATTTATTTTTTTGTGATAGAAAATCTGATTGAATGCACTTTTTAGGGTGACTCGGGACATGCCTCGTAAATATGTTAGGAGGCTTGGCGCAAGGCCATATCAAAATTACGACAAAAAAAGACTTGAAATGGCCGTTAGGGAAAGGTTAGCGAAACAAACAAGTTATAGAGAGTTAGAGGAACGGTATGGGGTATCCAGAAATACCATTAATCAGCATGTCATCAAACAAAATTTAAAAAAACCTGGGGGTCAATTGGCCTTAGCTGAAGCAGACGAAAAAAAAATAGTGAATTCTTTGTTGTGTGTTGCCGATTGGGGATTTCCCTTAGAACCAATGGATATACGGATTTTGGTAAAACAATACTATGACAGAATGGGTGTAAACATAAAAAGATTTACAAATAATATGCCAGGGCCGGACTGGATGAAATCATTTTTATTGCGCCACAAAAATAATTTGGCTTTAAGACTTTCCGAAAACATTAAACGAGCAAGGGCTGCAGTTGACAGGCAAGCAATAAATGTCTATTTTGATGAACTAAACTTATCTCTAGAAAACATTCCTCTTGCGAACATCGTGAACTATGATGAGACAAACTTCACGGACGATCCGGGCCGTCAGCGTGTCGTTATTCGCAGAAGCAACAAACATGCAGACCGTATTCTTGATTCCAGTAAAACATCAACATCAGTCATGTTTGCAATTAGTGGATCTGGTGTAATGTTGCCGCCATACGTGGTGTTCAAATCAGAACATCTCTATGAAAACTGGATAAGAAATGGACCACAGGGTTCTAGATATGGAAATACAAAAAGTGGATGGTTCGATTCAAATCAATTTGAACAGTGGTTTTTGACTATAGCATTAGGCTACTTCCGAAGACTTGAGGGGCCTAAGGTTGTAATAGGCGATAACCTGAGTAGCCACATCTCCCAAAATGTCATCATGGAATGTCAAAAAAATAATATCAGATTCGTTTTGCTACCTCCCAATAGCACCCACCTTACTCAACCTCTGGATACAGCATTTTTTAAACCACTCAAGCAATCGTGGAGAAAAATTTTGTTAGAGTGGAAGAAAAAAAATAAAGGAGTACTCCCAAAACCTGAGTTTCCAGGCTTATTAAACAAAGCTTTGGATAATATTGGAGACAAGCTAGAAGACAACATAAAGGCTGGATTTCGTTGTTGTGGTCTTATTCCACTCGACAGGGATCAGGTCTTGAAACGTCTACCCCCAGAGCCTGTTCGAGAAGATGAGGGCCAACTAGCTTGGACCGAAACGCTCACAGACTTTTTAAAGAACCAGCGAACTCCAACAAACCCAGCAAAGAAAGGTAAAGGAAAGAAAATTCTAGTAACACCCGGTAGAAGTGTGACATGTGAAAGAAGTTCTGACTCCGATTCTGACAATAGTGAAATGGAGATGGAATTAAATAGAAGTGAATCTGATGATAATGGGAGCATACAAGACATAGAGTCTGAGGGAGAAGAAAGAAATCAAAATGAAGATGTGGAAAACCTGGAAGAAGAGCCAGAGGAAGTGACTGATTTGCACATTGAAGATTTTGCAATTGTAAAATTTACAGACGGAAAGTTTTCGAAAAATTTTGTGGGAAAAATTTTAGACAAATCTGGTGACCAAATAAGAATCACTTTTTTAAGAGAACATTCGAAAATAGAAAATGGCTTTGCTTTTCCAATAGTTCCCGATGAATCCACAGTAAACATTTCCCAGGTTTTGAAAATACTTCCAAGACCTGTGGAACTGCGAAGAGGTGCAGTTAAATTTCCATTCCAAATAAATTTGAAAAATTAGGTAGACCCATTATTGTTATCGAAAGAAATGACCTTTTTTTTTATAATTTCTTGTGTAGAAATTTTTTTATTTTGTTCAAAAATCAATAAAAATAATGTTTACTTTTTTAAAAATTTCTATTTTTGTCCCGTCTCACTCCAGAAACGCCTTACAATGGTTTCTAGTGCTAAATAAGTGAAACGGGACAATTTTCAAAATTTAAAAAAAAATATTTAAGATTTTCGAAAAAATATTATTTTTAGCATACGTGTTCCCAAAATATGTAGAAACATGTAGCCACCTTAAAATTGCCATTTACTAATTCTGGTCATGAAATATTCACAAAAAAGTGTCAAATCCGTCCTTAGTCACCCCGTTTGACGGTACTTTCGGAACCGCCAGGTAGGTAGTATCTTAATTAAAATGGAGACTATTTCAACTACTTATTAGGTATTTTATTACATATACCTATATTTTTTTTCAGATATTCACCGACGAGCAAGAAAAACTTTTAGAAGAGTATTTGAAAGCATCAAGCGACATATATTTCGGACTCTCAGTCAAAGAAGTGAGGAAACTTGCTTTTGAGTACGCGATGGCGTTAGAAATTGATGTTCCGCAAACATGGAATGACAACCAGATAGCTGGTGAAGACTGGTTTAGCTCGTATATGAAGAGACATAATACTTTATCGATCCGAACACCAGAAGCAACTAGCCTAGCACGCGCATCCAGTTTTAACAAGGAAAATGTTGCCAAATTTTTCAACAATTTACAAGTCGTTATGAACCGCCTTAAATTGGAACCATCCCAAATTTTCAACATGGATGAAACCGGTGT